GCTCACAGTCCTGAAGCAAACAGTAAAAGGAACAGAGTCCAGTAAGTTTCTTTTCATAGACAAACACTCCTAACTCAAACTTTAGATGCTACAGGAGTTTTCATTCCTGTCTCTTTTCGTGCTCTTTGGAAATCAGCTCCTTGTCACTGCCAGCTGCCCAGGTACCAAAACTCGCTTTAGATCCAGCCATTCCAAACTGAACGAGCATCACATCCCACACCTGCCACCAGCACAACACCTCCCAACACCAAATCCCAGCCAGGGCAAAAGAGTGCCACAGCATGGCCTGAAAACAAGCAGCCCAGCTGCGGGTCAGTTTTCCTGCCTGCAGGATGTTCACCCACCTTCCTCCCACCTCGCAGCACCTCACAGCAAAGACAGACCCAGCTCTCACAACAGTGATGCTGAGACAGCCCTTGAGACCTTCAGCTCCAGCACAGATCCCCACAGACCCCCAGAGACACTCACCTTGTCACCTGAAGAACCTCCTTTTACTTTCCCCCGACAGCTCTTGAGGAGATCAGGGTAGAAGAACTCGGGGCAGCGTTTGTGGTCGGGCTCGAAGAGGGTCAGAGTGATGCGCACAGCCGTGGCCGCCGGCTCCGCCTCCGGGGGCTGCTCTCCCTCGTCCTTCCGAGACCTCTTCAGGAAGCTGCTGCTCAGGGGCCCGTGCAGAGTGGTGAACGAGACCCTGTGCGGCTCTGTCATGGCTATGGCCAAGCCTCACCAGGCCTCACGGCATCGTTCCTATCGCATTAGGAAAGCTCTGTGGGGCTGCACTGCTGGATTTCACCACGGCTAACCGGGGATGTCGGCAGCAGAACAAGTGCTTTGCTTTTGGAGTTTTCCCGGCAAGTGACAAAGGGCCGTGCTGCGGGTGCTTGCTGCAATCATTAGAGAGAAAAAGGAGAGAAAGAAAGAAGTCAATCCTTGTACCAGTCTTCCCTCCAACAGTGGAAGTTCCTCACTATCCCTCCAGCTCCGTTGCAGCTCTCTCTCCTCACACCACACCGCTCCGTTTGTAAGGGCTGAAGGAAATCCAGCTGCCGGGGAAACAAAACGAGCCCGCCAGATCGGATTTGACGCGGCGCAGGAGCCCTGGGCACGAACAAGGAGCCGGGGCTGCACCTCCCGGGCCGGGGCTGCGCTCCGGCCGCCCGATCTCCCGCTGCACGGGGGCCCGCTCACCGCTCACCGCCGTTTCTGGGACAGCGGCCCCGGCGGGGGCCGAGCCGGGGCCGGGGCTGAGCGGGGCCCGGGGAGGCAGCTTCGCCGGAGGGAGCGCGGGGCGGAGGGGAAGCCCGAGGCCGTGGTGCCGGTGCCGGGTCCGCCCGCCCTCTCTCCCTCTCTCCCTCCCTCACTCACCGCCGGCGGGACGCAGCCGCCGCTCCGGGCCCGCTCCGGCCCCGCGCCCGCGTCACGTGGGCGGTGCTGCCCTCACGCCGGGCCGCGCGCGCCACGACCAATCAGCGATGATTCCAGCGGCCACGCCTCGCACTACGACCAATCAGCGGCCGCCGCCGCGGCCACACCTCGCGGGAAAGGCTCGCGGACGGCTGCCCCCGACCACGTGATCGCGGCGGGCCAATCCCCGGTGCCGGCACCGCCCCGTCCCGGCGGCCCGCGCGCGGCGGCGGGAGGGGCGGGAAGATGGCGGCGGTCCCTGAGGGAGCGCCCGCGGGGGCTGCCCGAGCCCGCTTCACTCACCCAGCAGCGTTCGGTGGAGCCTCATAGGAATCAGTGGTGTGAAGCCTCCAGGAAGCTGCGTTCGTCCTGCCCCTCGTGTCCCTTAAGCAAGCTCAGGTTCCTTCCATAGAATGAAATGCAACGTAGGGAATGTGTGTAACGATAAGGGACAGCAGAGTAATCTCATACATCTGTAGCTGTAGTGGCTCGCGTGGGCATGGCTGCAGGCCTGTGCTGGAAGACCGCGACTGGAGATGACAGACTCCCAGCAGCCCTGAAGCTGTTAGGATGCTCCAGCTGGACGGGACACGGCGGATCCATCCCGGGGCGCTGACTGATGCCATCTGGGACCTCTCCATTGTTTTTCAGGGTTTAGGGAGTCTGGACAGTCTCTGAGTGGAAGGTGCTAAATGTCCGAGTTCTCAAGCAGACTTAAGGAAGAAGACCCTGCATCCTACAAGCCTGTCAGTCCTACTTCAGTGTTAAAATCCTGGAGGTTCTTTAGGGAGTTGCTGAAAACCCCTTGAGAGACAACGCAGGCAGCAGGCACAGCCGTGTGGGCTCACAGGGGGAAGGTCCTGCTTCATCTGCTTAATTCCCATTTGGGAGAGGCTCAGGCACCGATTCCCAGTCACAGAATGCTTCAGGCTGCGAGGGCCCACAGTGGCTCACCTGGGCCCAGCTGCCTGCTCAGGGCTGTGTCCAGACAGTTCTGAAACAACTCCAGTAACAGACACTCCACTCCCTCTCCGGGCAGCCTGTTCCAGTCTACAAGGAAGTTTTTGGTGTTCATTTGGGACTTCCTGGGCTCAGTCCCTGCCCGTGGCTCTGGTGCCATTGCTGGGCCTGGAGCAGAGCCTGGGCCTGCTCTGTCCCTCCCTGCACCCAGGGACAGACAGGGACACCCAGGGACACCCAGGGCTGAGGCCCATCTCAGCTGGGGGCAGCCAAGAGCTGACTCTACCCTGGTACAGCCTGGATGAGGGAGGGGATTGTCCTGCTCTGCACTGGGGCTGGAGCTGTGTTCCCACTCATGGGGCTGGGAGCTGAACTATGGAGGAACAGGTCAAAAGAGAGAACATGGAGCAAAACTGTGGAGAGAACGGGTCGAAAGCCATTTCCCATCCCATTAAATTTTTAATCCTCTTTCATTTTCAAATGCTCTGTGTTTGTGTTTGGCTCACAGCACCAGCTCAGACCTAAGTCCTTAGCAAATGCACTGCTGGCAATCCAGGGAAAAGCCCCAGGAGCAGAAACCAGGCTCTGACATGGGGCTGGCACCCAGCCAAGAGGATGGGGCAGGGCTCTTCCAGTGGGACCCAGCAACAGCAGGACGAGCAATGGCCAGAAAGTAAAACACAGGAAGTCCCCCCTCAACATAAGGAAGAATTTCTTTACACTGAGGTGGCAAAGCACAGGAGCAGGTGCCCAGGGAGGGCGTGGAATGTCCTGCTCTGGAAACGTTCCAAACCCACCTGGACACATTCCTCTGGTGGCTGCTCCACGTGACCCTGCTCTGACAGGGAACTGAATGATCTCCAGAGGTCCTTTCCAACCCCTGCTATTCTGGGATTTTGTGAGTCCTGCAGGAGCACAGACCCTGCTGTTTCTACTGCCGTCAGTGTGTGGTGCTGCAGCAGCAGCCTGGCTCCACTGAACATCCCCCCAGCCAGACTTCTGCTTCAGTGGGAAGCACAAGAGCCCTGCACAGGGCAGAGACAAGGGCATCTCTGCTGCCTTCACCTCCTCCAGCTCTCACACACAACTGCTGCACCCAAAACCTCCCCTCCATGCTGCTGCCCAGGCTAGTTTTGACAAGCACCTGCAGCCTCCTGCCTTCAGGGGCCCCACGAGGAACAACAGACAGCTTCTACGTTTATTGTTACAGTTTAACACAGTCTTGGACAGAGGAGAAGCAGCAGAAACCAACATGCAAAGCAATTAAAAGTCCCCAGGGGCTCGAGGACCACCAGCCACAGCTCAGCTCCTGTACCTGCTCCCAGCAGTGTCTCTGGGGGCCCTTTCCCTGCAGCTGCTGCTCCATTGTGCCCCAGAGTGGCACGAGGTCATGGCAGACACCAAACCTACACACACACAGGGGAGAGGAATGGCCTGGGACTGTGGCTCAGTGAGTCAGGTCCTGTATCTGACTGGAGTTCAGTGCACTTTGAAATTGGGAGGCATCTTCAATCTCATCCATGTAGACAGGGAAAAGAGAGATTGTTCAGGAAGAGGCAATGGCAGGAGATGAAGCTCAGCTATTTGGGCAGAGTTTTCCTGTGTCAGAGCTGGCAGCTCTTGGTGCCAACAGCTTCTCTCAGTGCATCTGTTAAACAACCAACGTGGCCTTCCTCCCACTGGCTTCACACCTTGGTCTTCACCATTGCCTTCTCTTGCAGCCCTGCTGCAGCCAGACTCCCAAGTTCAGCCAAGTGGACAAGTTTCAGAAACAAATGGCATCTGTCAGGTATTTAGAGCTGGACATAGGTGCTTGGAGAAGGCCCCAAGGCAGGAGGAGCCCTGGCTGAGGCAGCTGGACAGCCCCACTCACTGGAGGGGCACCTCCCACCCCTGTCCTGCTCAGCCCCACCACTCTGGGGCCAGCAGGGAGCAGGAGTGGGGGTGACTTCACTCTGCTCCCCCAGAGCTGCCCTCATTCCCCAGCACCTACACAGCTGAGCACCCAGAGGGATAGGCTCTTAGGGCACAGGTCAAACTCATCCTGCACACAGGAAAGCCCTGGGGATCTTGTTCCCTCAGTTTAAATGTGTCCCTGTTCCATGGCAGGACTCCATGTCACTGTCCCTGTCCTTCTGCTCTGGTGAGGCTGCACAGGGAGCTCACACAGCACAGCTCTGAGGTGCTGGGTGGCCCAGGGACAGCTCACAGGTGGTGTCCAGCCCGTTACAAACTGGTTTCCAGATACCCTCCCAGCATGAAAGCTCCACTGCAAACTCTCAGGGGGACAAGGAAGATCCTGGCACTTGCCAGAGCTCAGTGCCAAGACTTCACAGCCTCTGCACAAGAGAGAGCTAAATACTCCCCTAAATAATCCTTCCTGAGCAACAGATCCACAAATCCTTCCCTGACCCCCTCTCCCCCTTCTACTCCCGTGGCTGCCCCAGTGCTGCTGCCTCACATCAGTGACCACGGAGGGACAGTCTGTGTCAGGCTGGGTCAGGGCCATGCAGCCCCAGAGAAGCAGAGCAGGCCTGAAGGAGCTGCCTGCCACCCCCAGCAGCCACAGCCCAGGAGGCAGAGCATCCTGGAATTCCTGAGGAATTGTGCGTCTAGCATCCAGAGAAGCAGAGCAGGCCTGAAGGAGCTGCCTGCCACCCCCAGCAGCCACAGCCCAGGAGGCAGAGCCTGAGGAATTGTGCATCTAGCAGCATTTGGAGACTCTTCCTTCCACAAACTCACTCATCACCCAGTCTGAAACTGGGTGAGCTTTTGCCAGCCCCAGCACCCAGGGCTCCCACTAAGGGAGACAGAATTGTCCCATCCTTCATTCCTTGTCTTGGAATGAACTCCAAAATTAGAATTTGCTCCCTTATCCTACAGCAGCCCAAATCTTTAAGAGCCTTTGGTGAAAAGCCTTCTAGAAATGCAGGTAAATTGTCAAGCCCATCACCTTGTGACCAGCACCTCTCCCAGCAGCAAGAACAACGCATTCTCCTGCTCCAGGCAGGGATGAGAACACCCAGGAATGGGCCAAGAGCCCAAGTTTTGCTTCAATTAATCAGCTTGAGCTACTTGAGATTTAAGATGCTGCAGCAAACAGAGCAACAATACCAACTACTTACTAGAGCAGAGAGAGAAAAAAACAAAGAGCTCCCCTTGGCAGGAGCTGAACCAGAGTTCCACACACAGCCCAGCTCCCAGGATCCCACAGGCAGAAGAGGAATCCCACAGAGGATCTGCAGGCAGCCCCAGCAGCTGCCATGAAATGGATGGAAGTGTGCTGTGTCCCAGCAGGAAGATGAGCTTCCCCTGGGCTTGCTGCTCACTCGTAGATCCAGTGTGCAGCCGTGTCCTCCCAGCACGGCAGCTCCTCGGGGCGGAACCAGAGCGAGATCTCCTGCTGGGCGCTCTCCACCGAGTCACTGCCGTGGATCACGTTCCTGTGGGCAAGGAGAAAGGGAGCAGCTCTCACCAAGCTGGGAAAGGTGGGAAAGGGGTGCTGCAGCCTGCAAAATTCCCAGTTTTGACCAATTGCATTAAAGCAATGCAGACAGTCCTACCCCACAATGTCCTCTCCTATCAGACACCACTCATCCTTCCAGCAGTGCTAGTTCCCAGCACTCCCCCCTCCTCTGCTGAGGAACCTTTTGTTCACTACAGGAGGAGCTGCAAGTGGCTGTAGCTCTGGGATGTGCATTTTTTATGTCAGTGATTCCAGCTGTGCCTCCAGATTTTTCCCCTTCCAAAGCAGGCTTGGTATCAGACACCAATAAACAGATCTAAGGCAGGATGGTTCAGTAAGAGCTGTGTCCACCACGAGCCAGGCTGGGGCCACCCAAGATCACCACCCATAGATATTCACCTGCTCCCACAAAAGGACTGAGTGGGAGCCTCCCTTCCTCTTCACAGCCTGACAGTCCTGATTAGCAGAGGAAAACAGGCAAAGCCCACCTGCTTTCAACAGAGGACTCAGGAGGAAGGAAAGACACAACCCAGGCTCTTCCTCCTGTTAAAGCCAACCCTGGGAAGCAGAGCTCAGCTCTGTCTGAGCACAAAAGGGAGAACTTCTGCTCCAAGAATGCAGACTGATGTGGCTCGGGCAGGCCTGGCACAGGAATGCCTGGACAGGATGCCCTGAAACACTGAGGGAGGAAGTCAAAGCTCTCACTTGCTGACTTCAACACAGAAGTCTCCTCGGATGGTGCCAGGCCTGGATTCAGCAGGATTGGTCTCCCCAATCATGGTGCGAACTGTCTTCACCACATCCAGGCCCTGCCAGACCTACAGGAGAGCAAAACCAGGATCAGCTTCCACAGCTGCCCCAGCAGGTCACATCTGCCCTCTGAATCCCCCACCGGATCCACACGGGGGACAGACAGCAAAGGGTCTCTCCAAATTATTGTTCCAAAGTTGATTTTGGAAAATAATCCAAATTGTCTGTGGATTTCTCCCCACCCCTGGAAGTGCTCAAGGCCAGGGTGGATGGGGCTTGGAGCAACCTTGGTCTAGTGGAAGGTGCCCCTGACATGGCAGGGGGTAGAACAAGACCTTTAAGGTCCCTTCCAACCCAAACTGTTCTGTGATTTAATTTACAACAGAAAATATCCCTGCAGTTCAGTACAGCTTCAAGGGACCCTCTGAGGAGAGATATCACCTTACTTCCACTGTGCCAGCAGCCACTGCTGCTCACACTGTCCCTGTTCCTCCAGGGGCCCTGGCCAGCACTCACCATGGCCACGATGGGCCCGGAGCTCATGTACTTCACCAGGCGGCCGTAGAAGGGACGGTCCCGCAGGGCGATGTAGTGTTCCTTCAGCAGCTCCTCCGAGGCCTGCACAGAGCACAGAGCTCAGTCTGCTGCCACACGGGGCACCGGGGCAAGGGCTGGGCCTCAGCGATGCAGGAAATTAAGAGAATGAAGCTCTTGCACAGATGCCCACTTCCAGGAGTGAAACAGCAGGAGCCTGACACAGGCGTTTCCAGCTGCTAGCTTACAGTGCCAGCCCTGGAGTATGGGCACAGCCAAGGGCAGACATGCTCCCCACAGCTGGAATCACCCTCCCAGTGCCAAATCCCCTCTGAGCTGCGAGGATTTGGTGCTGGAATGACACCTGCAGCCTGTACAGGCCCCATGACAGGCAGAACCCCCAGCAGTTCCCAGCACAGCTGAGGCTTGGGGGCTGCAGGGGCTCCTGGACTCCAGGGACCCCCAGCCTGGGTGGGCCCGGCCGCTCACCTGCAGCAGCTTCATCCCCACCAGCTGCAGCCCCTTCCTCTCGAAGCGCCGGATGATCTCCCCGACCAGGCGCCGCTGGACCCCGTCCGGTTTGATGGCCACGAAGGTTCGTTCATTGACCCCGCCGAAGGCTGCAGGGACAGGGCACAGGTCTGAGGCGGGAAGGGGACCCCTCTGGGCCTTCAGCCAAGCGGGCACGGGGGGGTCGCAGGCCCTCAGCCGTGGGGACACAGAGGGTCCAAGGTTCCCGCAGGGGAGGGTAGGGCGGTCCTGGCCGCAGAGGGCACAGGGACACGGGGGCCTGGCCCAGGCCTTCAGCCGCGGGGTCTCTCCCGGGGAAGGGAGGTCCTTGGCCCTGAGGCACAAGGGGAGTGGGGATCCCTGGTCCTCAGACCCCGGCCGGGGGTCGCGTCCCGTTCCGTACCGCTGTGGAAGAGGCCGGCGAAGATCCCCAGCACCAGGCAGATCATGGCGGCGCCGCTCTTAAAGGGGCCGTGCTCCCCCCGCGCTGTCACCGCCCCCCGCGGAACCATCGTGCCGGGGCCGCGGAGCGGCGGGGCCGAGACACGGGGACACCGGGTACGGCCCGTTCCCATGGCAACGGGGGGACGCACCGGGGCGAGCTGTCCCGGCCGCGGCCTCCTTGCTGCCGCCTCTGAGCTGCCCTGTGCCGCTGGCCCGGCGACAGCGTCCCGGGTGTTCATGAGACTGTTTTGCCTCCGCTGTCTGTCGCTGCGGTCGTGACTGCACACTAGTGGTGGTTAGAGCAGTCCGGCAGAGCTGCAGCCCGGCTGGGGAGCTCCTCTGTACGGAGCACATGCACTGATTCCATTTTGGGGTGTCAGACCCCGGCTCTCAGCCCCGGGGGTCGTTAGCACTGCACTCCAGGGCTCCATTTCCTGCTCTCAGGAACTCACCTCTTGGTGCAGCCCCCTCCAAAATCAGCCTCTGGAAACACCAGCACATGAATTACCTGCAGCAGGTGCCCTGTGGAGGGCTGGCTTTGCTCCCAGAGCTGCTCGGGTGCCTCGAGGAGCGCTGGGTCTGCTTCCATCCTGTGTGCAGAGACAGTGTTCTGCTCCCTCTCCTCTGTTCAGCTCTTGGCTGGGACAAGCAGGAATCTGTCTCCAAACAGCAGGGATCCAGCTGCTTTATCCAACATCGTTTTGAGTAAATGATTCCCGTGTTCGTACCAATCAATAATTAGTGGTTGCATCCTGGAGCTCCAGGGCGCGGCTTTGCCCGAGGGAAGCTGACCCCTTTGCTCCAGCACAGTGCTGCGCTGGTTCTTACCCTGCCCGTGGAAAAGCCTTTGTAGGATAAACTCTGTCCCTTGTAGAGCCGTGGGCACTGCTCGGGAGGCGAGGGCGGAGCCAGAGGCCGTTCCAGAGGCCGTTCCCGGGGCTCTGGTGCCGGCAGAGGGAGCGCAGGCAGCGCGGAGCGGTCCCGGGCCTCGGCAGCGCAGCGCCCGTCCCGCCCGGGCATCCCTGAAACATCGGGATGCATCTCTGAAACGTCGGGATGCACCCCTGAAACGTCGGAATCCACCCCTGAAACGTCGGGATGCATCCCTGAAACGTCGGGATGCACCCCTGAAACATCGGGATGCATCCCTGAAACGTCGGGATGCACCCCTGAAACATCGGGATGCACCCCGGAAACGTCGGGATGCATCCCTAACACGTTCAGGTGCATCCCTAAAACATCGCTGGGATTTTCAGGTGTCAGCCCTCCCCTCGTGTTCTCAGGGACAGCCGGGCTGTTTTGTTGGAACATCTCAAACAAGGCCCGTCTGGAGGAGGTGTCTGTGCAGGGAAAGAGCCCTCACACAGTTTGGAAAGGTTGCAGAGCGCTCTGAGGAAGGTGCCCAATGGATGGTGTCAGCTCTCATTTAGCTGCTCACAGAGCCACTAATTAAGAGCACATTCTCCATGTGCTGCCCGTGACATGTGTGTGTGTCCAGCCTGGTGTGCAGGAGTGTTGTAGTTGAGACAGAGACAATGCAAAGCAACACTCCATTTTCAGAAGGCTTCAAAGCTGTTTTTATTTTAGCATGCATGCTTCTTATACATTCTTCAAAACTCCTAAGTTTGCACTTTACTCATTGGTCAGAAAAGACAAACAAAGTGCTTATTGGAATAGACAGTTGCAGGTTTCTCTTATTTATCCTTCTTTTTTTTCTTGGTTTTTATGTCAATGACCTTGATAGGAAATTCTTCCAGGGGCAAACATGGATCCTCTTCTCAAACTTCTCTCTGGCTGACAGAAGTCACTGTAAAACCTCTTCCACACAGGAGTGGCAGTGGGGTTGAAGGAATGTGGCAGGTGGTGAAACCCAGCTTCCTACCTCCAGCCTGATGGCTGATCTCAGTCTTCCTTCACAGAAGGCTGCTTCAAAAATAATGATGTTGCTGTCATTTTAATAAGATTTATTCCAGGACACTTTTCAAGGTGCCTGCAGAGGTGTCAGTGATGAAGTCAGCAGCTCAGTGCCCAGCCCAGCCAGCACCATGTGTGCTGCAGGCAGCCACACTTCCACACAGCCAGCAGCCCTCCTTTCACACTCGTGTCATTTCTGCTGTTTGTCAATGCTGATGAAACAGCTCATCTTCTAATACCAGGGTTGTTCTGTCATTCTGCACAGGTCTACTCAAAGATCCTGGTGCAGGAATTTGGGTGCAGGATTTCATCTCCTTGGACTGTAAATGTTCTCTTGAGCCTCAGGCGGTTCCCTGCAGCAGAACTTGGAGGAGAAACATGTCAAACACTGTCCACTTGGGTGAGTCCTTCTCATCTTCTCTGGCAATGCTGTGCTGTGGGGAGAAAGCTTTGACTTCCCTCTCCAGAAGCCCAGAAATGTGGATTATTGGTTTCCAGGTGGCTTGGGAAATGGAGCTGGGCCTGATTCCCAGGCAGATTCTTCCTGAGCCACTGTCTTTTAGGCAGGTGTGTATCTAGGGTGAGCACAGGAAGCTGCAGTAAGCAAGAATGAGACTACAAATCCTTCCTACAGAGCTTTCATTTGGGTGCTCAGCATTCCCAGCCCAGATGTGTGCATGGAATGATGCCACAGGCAGCAGCTGCACATCTGGAAGGGCTGAACAAATTTGCTGCGTCGTTTGGAAAGCTCAGTGATCACTTTTTGAACCCCTGACTGGGAAGCTGAAAGGCCAGGTACCTTGTGGCACCAAACACCTTCTCATTTCAGTGGGAAGGTTCAGTGTGGAGGATCCCAGTGTGGCAGGGGAGCTGGGAGGGGCTGTTCCCCTGCTCACCCCCACTGCAGCAATGTCAGGCGGAGGCAGAACTCTATTTTTGCTCCTGCTGGATAGAACACTGCAGATGCTGTTGTTATGTAAGGGACTCGAGAGCATGTAGGTGCAGATAAGGTGGCCATCCAACACTGTGCAGTGCAGACAAAGGCTTTTTGTCTCCTTTCTTCACACTTAGCAACTCCTGCAGCTGGCACTGCCTTCCTTCTCAGTCTCTTTCTGCACCTTCTTGCTTGTTTGGGGAGGATTTTCACCTTTCAGTTCAGCCATGGTCTTTCACCAGCATAGCACTGGCACAGCCTCTCACAGCGTGGGCTCTGCACAGGTGCAGACCTGTCTGCTTTCATCCTAGACCACTGATCCTGCTGGGAATGTTTCACCTTTTAAGATAAAGAGGGGTTGGTAGAGCCAGAAGATTTCCTGAAGCACCTTTTGCTGGATGCAGGGGATACAGATGTCAGAGCCAGAGCTACACAAAGTGCTCCACAGCAAAGGACATGGAACAGACAAGAGGATCCTTTCCAAAGAGCCATTGCTCCACCCTGGAACAAAGCTCTGATACAGAGTGGGGGTGCTCTGAAAACTGGGTGTAGCTGTTTGAGTACAGCAGGAGGTCTCCAGGGATACCTCTAACCCCAGGAGAGGTGCTGCTTCCTCAGGGGGAACCAGACTTGCTTTCCTTGCATTTGGCTTTTCCATTCTCATGGAGTCCATGAAAGATTTCCTGGAAAGAAGCACTCAGGATACACAGCCCAGGGAAACACTTGCACTTTGAAGCAGAGGTTTGTGTTAGTTCTCACTTCTGTGCAGTGCTACAGCATTTTATTTATACCTGTCTGGACAGCCTGTGCTTCTTCCCTGAGAAATTTCCAGTCCATCCAGTCCCATCCAAGGCCAGAGAAAGGACAGGCTGGAATAGGCAGTGCAGTGAGGAGCTGGGTACTGATGCTCTGGAGATGAACCAGGAGGGCAGCAGGACACTGCCTGCTGTTCAGTGCCCTGAGAGATGTCCACGGCCTGGAGCCCTTGTCCTGAGCTCTGAGTGTGTCACTTGTGTGCTGCTCCCAGTCCTGGCTCCTCCTGTCCTGTAGGAGCAGAGAAGAGGAGTCTCCCCTGTGCTGATGCTGGGATCACATCCAAAACTTCTGCACAGATGCAGCTGCAGCAGCTTGGTCTGTCCTGTTCTGTCTGGAGTGTTTCATAAAATCCCAGAGTGGTTTGAGTTGGAAGAGACCTCAAAGCCCATCCAGTGCCACCCCCTGCCATGGGCAGGGACACCTTCCACTGTCCCAGGCTGCTCCAAGCCCTGTCCAGCCTGGCCTTGGGCACTGCCAGGGATCCAGGGGCAGCCACAGCTGCTCTAGGCACCCTGTGCCAGGGCCTGCCCACCCTCACAGGGAACAATTCCTTCCCAATATCCCATCCAGCCCTGCCCTCTGGCAGTGGGAAGCCATTCCCTGTGTCCTGTCCCTCCATCCCTTGGCCCCAGTCCCTCTCCAGCTCTCCTGGAGCCCCTTTAGGCCCTGCAAGGGGCTCTGAGGTGTCCCTGGAGCCTTCTCCTCTCCAGGGGAGCAGCCCCAGCTCTGCCAGCCTGGCTCCAGAGCAGAGGGGCTCCAGCCCTTGGAGCATCAGGGATGATTTCTCAGGGACAGCTCCTCACATAAGCCTGTGAGGATAAATGTTTTTGTATAAAAACCCCACTGTGGCCTGTGGAGTTCTGCCAGCAGAGGCAGCCAGTGGGTCTCACCATGGTTTGGGGTCTCCTCTCACTCACAGGGGAGCTGCTGCCACGCCTTCATCTCCAGCTCCAGCTCAGATCTGAGGTGGCAGATGTGGGACTAAGCCTGACCTTTCCCTCTGTACAGACAGCAGCCCTGGGGTGTGAGTGTGTGGGGCCCCTGCATGAGCCCTGTGCCCAGGGCAGGGCAGGCAGTACCCCCTGAGCCTGGCAATGCAGAGCCCCAGCTCCCAGGAAGCTTCCTTGGCCTCATGAGGAGATTCTGGAGGTAAAACCTAGAGTCCTGGAAGCTTTCTGTCATTTGGGCTGAGCTGATGGCAAAGTCCCACGTGTGTGAGTTCTGTGAAGGAATGCTTTTCTAGAGAGGTGGTGGCTGCCTTGGATCAGGTTGTATCCACTTGCTTACACCTTCACTCTGGCTGGCAGTGGGATGGAGGAGGAACTGCCAACTTTGAGAAACTATTTGGAGTCCCTTGTTCAGAGGGGCCTGAATGCAGCCTCCCCTCTCCAAATCCACCACCA